CCTCCTCTCTGGGACATGGGCAACCCTGCAGGGTAAGTGGGAGCCTTGCCTCATCCACAGCTGCTCCCATGCCCCCGTGGGACTCCATGGGCAAGAGGCTTCCTGCTCCCCACCCACTTTTGGCTCTTACTTCCTCACCCCTCCTTGTCCCCTGGCTCCACACCTTCTCCTTGGCAGGGATGCAGCCACCTGAGGTGGGTGCAGGGGTGGGAGCCGGGGCTCCCAAGGATGAAGGGGGCCTGGCGGGAGTCCACAGATCTCTGCAACCTCAAGGACCTGTCCCTCAGCCCCTCCACTTTCCCTGTCCCTCTCCTCCCTGTCAAACCCTGTCTCACGTAGGGACCTTCACTTTCCGGCTCCTTCACACCTCTACCTTCCAAAACACCTCCTTTGTGGAAACGGAGGGGATAGGCCTGCTGGAAGACATTGAACTTGGGTCTCTTGATAAGCACACCTGGGACATCCACTTCTGCCAGCCCTGGGTGCGTCCAGCAGTGCCCCAGAGTGAGTGGGACACACTTGACAACATGTTCAAGGTCTACTTGCATAATTTCAACCTCCTGATGAACCAAGGGGCCACACAGAAGGATGTGCCCTGTGAGTATCCACTCTTCACTGTGTTTCCTCTCTAACCAGCAGCTGGGGAGTGGGGAAGGATCTGGCAAGTGCTGGCACTGATCATGCCTGCAGGAAGGCAATCCCAGCACCTCATGAAACCTCTCTCCCCTTTCGGCCCCTCCAGACCCCTTTGTGGCTCAGTCCATGGCAGGCTGCAAGCTCTACCCCAACAGGACCTCTCAGGTCTTCCTCTCTGTGGGCTACAATGGGCAGGACTTCCTCAGCTTGGACACAGACAGTGCCACCTGGACCCTCTCCCAGGACACTGACCTGGCACGGTACCTCAGGGCTGTCCTCACGAATGAAACCACCCTCGCTGAGGCGGTGGAGGGCATCTTCAAGGATAGCTGCATCAATGCCCTGGAGATGTTCCTGAGTTATGGGAGGGCAGCTCTGGAGAGACAAGGTGAGACCACCCTGACCCTGCCACAGCCACCCCAAAGCCCTGGGGCCAAGCCGTGCCCAACCAGGGCTTCCCCCACC